CTCATGTCACATCAGACTCCAGCACCAAGGTCCCCTAACCTTCTGAGCCACTATCCCTGCCTCCCTTAGTCTGTCTTAAAAACCCAATTAATTACATCCCCACATAGCATGGTCTTGCCAGTCATCTGAGAACCTCGGAGAAGGGTCATTCTAACCTGTGTTTCCAATCAAGTAGTTTAAGGGACTCAAGTGTCCTCAGCCCATTGCTGTATTCTACTGCCTTCTCTTTGGAGTTTCTAAATAGTAAATATACAACAGCCTAGTGAATGGAGAAATTAAAATACATGCTATACAAAAAGTATTATTGAAATTAGTTTCTTTTATTTCTGTTGGCCTTCAGAAGGGAATATGGCGGCTAAACTAGCTAGGAAAACACTTTGCCATATTTTAGCTCTTAAACATTTTAAAATGTAAATAAAGTTAGGAAGAAGGGAGCCAGGAATGTGTGAATGAGCTCTAAGATTCCAGCAGGGATTGTCTTCACCCAGCAGTTACCGCCAGAAACCTGCTGCTGCTTCAGACCTAAACCTCATGCATACAACATTGAGGAGATATCCAGACTTTACTGTTTGAAGTTTAGTCAGTACCTCAATCTGTTTTTATCCTGGTTTCATCCATTGCAGCAGGAAGAAATCTAGAGTTAATATTTGTGAGGCAAGCATATTTGTTGAGCACTCTGTGCTTTGGGGACATACTTGATGTAAAATGGAGTGTAGTTATCACTTTGACTATTCTAGTTCTAGAAAGCAGTCCCTCCAATCCAGGGTTGATGGACCAGAGATGCTGTGCACACATCTTCCTCAGCCTTTGACTCTCTATGTATTCTTTACTTTGTGTTGGTTGTATTGGAAAGGGAACTAGAAGCCACAGTTCAGGCAATGGTTAAATTCAGAAAATGGCATTAAATGAGTATAGGTCCCCTCATAGGTGGGACACACAGTCCTGGCATCTTGACTGTATAAAGACTGTGACTAAGGATGGTACCAACTTTGTGAAATTTACCAGAGTGAGGAAAAGACTTTTTTATTTACTTTTTTTTTCATTATTGAAAATAGATTTTAGTGGGATTGCTCTAAGTTGCTCTCTATTTAGATTGATATTGGCTGTGGGCTTACCGTAAATTGTCTTTATTATGTTGAGGTATGTCTTTTATAACCCTAGTTTTTCAGGACTTTTATCATGAAAGATGTAGGATTTTGCCAAAGGTACTTTCTGCATTTATTTTATGGTGGATTATATATATCAGTTACCCATGCTGCACTATCCCTCCATCTCGGGGATGGAGCTTATGTGGTCATGGTGGATGATCTTTCTTATGTCCTGTATTCAATTTGCAAGTATTTAATTGAGAATGTTTACAGGTATGTTTTAAGGGAAATTGGTCTGTAATTTTCTTTTCTTTATTGTGTCTTTGTGTGGTTTAGGTATCAGGGTAACTCTGGCCTATTATAAAGAATTGGGCAATATTGTGTTTCTGTTTTGTGAAATAATTTGTGGAATGTTACTCTTAATTGTTTTGGCACAATTCTGTGCTAAAACCATCTGGCTCTGGGCTCTTTTTGGTTAGAAGACATAATTGCTACATCTATTTCACTAGGGGTTATAGGTTTGTTTAATTTGCTTATCTGACTTTGATATGTGGTATATGTTAAGAAAATTATCATTTCTGCTAGGCTTTGCAATTTGGTAGAGTACAGGTTTTTTCAAGTATGTCCTTAAGATTCTCTGTATTTCCTTGATGTCTGTTGTTATATCCCCCTTTTCATCTCTAGTTGTGTTAATTTGAATATTCTCCCTCAGCCTTTTAGTTAATTTGGCTAAGAGTTTATCAATCTTAATGACTTTTTTTTCAAAGAACCAATTCTTTGTTTCATTGATTCTTTGTATTATTTGTTGTGACTTTTTATTTTATTGATTTCAGTTTGATTATTTCTTGTCCTCTAGTCTTTTTGAGCATTATTTCTTCCTTTTGTTTTAGAGCTTTCATGTATGCTGTTAACTAATAGGAGATCTCTCTACTTGTTTTTTGAAGGCACTCAGTGCTATGAGCTTGTCTCTTAGCACCACTTTCAGTGTGTCCCATACATTTGAGTATGTTGTGCATTCACTTTTATTCAGTTCTAAAACGGTTCTAGTTTCTTAATTTTTTCCTTAACCCATTCTTCACTCACTAGTGTATTGTCCCTTTTCCAAGAAGCTTCTGTAGTTTCTGTTGTTGACATTCATCTTTAATCTGTGGCAGTCAGATAGACTGTAGAGGGTTATTCCAGTGTTCTTATATCTGTTGAGGCTTTTTGTATCCAAGTATGCTGTCAGTATTGGAAAGTTCCATGAGCTGCTGGGAAGGTGTACCCTTTTGTGTGGGTGAAATGTTCTGTGTATATGTTAGGTTCATTTAGTTTAAGATGTCAGTTAGCTCCAACATGTCTCTGGTTTTGCCGAGTGGCAAGAGTCAGGTATTGCAATCACTGTGTGTGGGTCAATATGTGATTTTAGCTGTAGTCATATTTCTTTTATGAACTTGGGTGCCCTTGTGTTTGGTGCATAGATGATTAGACTTGCAGTATCCTCTTGGTGATTTTTTTTTATTTGTGTATGTAGTGTCCTTTCCTATTTCTTCTGATTAGTTTTGAAGTCTGTTTTGTCAGACATTAAAATGGCTATACCAGCTTGTTTCTTGAGTCCATTTTCTTTAAATATCTTTTTCCATCTGTTAAGCTTCAAACCCAGAACAAATAGCTGAGGTACCTATTTAACATATCAGAGTGGACCTGACTGCCAGGTTCTCCTAGCATGCCTTAGTCCCTACCTGTTACAGAGTATAGATAGCATAGATAGTCCTCTACCCTAAACTCTCCAGCCCAGAGGCTGGGCTGTCCTTGCCCCGGGGCTCTTCACTGTGTAATCTGGACATTCTGGTTACCCACTCCTTTTGATCACTGTATAATCTGGACATTCTGGTTACTCACCCCGTTTGACCTTTGGCCTCCTAGCTGCTGCACCTGGTTCTCCTCACTCCCCTCTTTCTTCCCCGCTGTCTCTCCCACGTATCTATAATAAAGTTTTTTCTCCCCTCATACTTAGAAGCAGTCATGTCTTTTCCCTTCCTTTTTATTTCCTTTTTTTTTTTTTTTTTAATTCAGTGAAAGTAAACAGTATTGGCTCTGGACCCCCAAGACCAAATTCTCAGCACAAAGGAGATTTGTTTGCCTAGGGGGACAGAGGGCAGGGATAAGACACAAAGACAGGAGGCAGAGGACAACGGAGAAGAGGAAGGGAACAAGGGAGATCAGAAAGGGGTATTTGTCCTGGGGACTCAGGCGCACTGACAAAGGACAAACTCTGGATAAAGAGCTTTAGGAGTGTAATCTAAGGGTTTTTAGCAAGGCAGAGAGAATGGGGGGAAGGGCAAGGCCTGCCAGAGCCAAGCTCACCATACTCAAGTTGGTGAGAGTCCTTTCAATGGAGAATGGCTATATTCCCAGAACTTGGGAGGCTGAGGCAGGAGAATCTTGAATGCAAGGCTAAGCTGAGTGGTATAGTGAATTCTAGGACAGGCTAGTCTACTTAGAAAGTCCTGCGTCAGATCCAGCAGACATCAGTCAAACCCTAGGACTACATCATTTCATTCTGAGCTGCTGGTGCCATTTATCTAAGTACTTGATTTGTTCGAACATTCTGCCTTCATCATCGCTGCCTCATTGTTGACTGACAAAATTATTTCCCAAATGGCATTTCTAATTCTAACTCAGAAATTTGAGGTTCAGTCTATAGGAGGATGAAAAGCAAGTTACAGGGGCAAAGGAGAGGGTGTTTGTGGCTTGGGAGAACTTTGTTAGAGAAAGGGCTGAAGAGGAAGATGGACATCTATGAACCAGGCTATCATTGGTCCTGAGAGGTTTGGGTACCAGGAGGAGAAAGTTCACAGGGAAACTGATTCTTGATAGTTGAGGCCTATATGAGCATTTATGTAGATGAACATCAAGGCTTTGGTAAATAGGATCTCTCTGAAGCTGAGATGGTAACTGTTAGTAAACAAAGAATTAAAACGGCAAGGGAAGAGAAAACTAGGACTTATGAACCTTCCCAGGGCATACAACTTTTAAAACAGGTCTATTGAAACTTTAAGATGAAAGTAGAAGGCTGGAGAATGACTTAGTAGGTAAAGAGCTTGCCACTCAAGAATGAGGACCCGAGTTCAAATCCCCCAAACCCTTATAAGGTTGAACACAATAGTGTATGTCTATAATCCCAGCTTGGGGGGGGGGTGAGATAGGAGAATCCTCAGTAGCCTGCTGGCCAGCTAACCTAATAATCACAGCAGGGAACAGGAGGCCCTGTCTCAGACAGAGTGAAAAGCAAGGACCAGTGTATGAAGTTGTCCTCTAAACTCCACACACACTTTGTGGCACATATACATCTGCCTTCCTGCACATACATGCACATACCATAAACATACAGAAAGATTTTTAAAAAAGAAAAAGAAGTTGTGTCTTATGATTTCTCATTTGCTAGAATTTGTGTAATAATGAATTGTAAAGGATCTAGGATTCATTGTCTTTGACTTAAGAAAAGTTAGAAAAATTTTTATTTGCATCAACGAAAATATTATCTTGATAAGAGAATGAGACATTTGTTTATTATTCTAGAATCTACAAATGGATGAAACAATCACATTATGACTGTAGGTGAAATATCATGGTATATGTAGAATACTACTCAAGAGTGTATAATAAAAAGTACTTGGGATAATTATGGGACTTCAGTTCTCCCTTAATCTTAGTTTTCAGTAGAATTATATGTTAAAGTACTTAATAGTCTATTTATGTTAAATGTAGAAAATCAGAGATAACTTTGCTTGCTCTTCATTGATTACTACCAAATTTTTGGTGCTTGTGAAAGTAGTTTATGGAAATGAGTTAATTTATTGTGTTACTGACTTAACAGCAGTATTTCCTTACTGAGTCACTGAGTCTAACTTGCATCCTCCTGTTTTCCAGCTCGGCTCATCCTCCTCTGTGCCTTTTACATCCATTTTCTCTCAGCTGTTTATGACAGTCGTGGTGCCTCTCATCATTGGACAGGTAAGGGCCCTGCCTAGCTGGTCTTTCCTGGACAGATTACACTGTGAATTCTTAGGTCAAGTCAGGGCAGGTGAGGGAATACTATGAAAAAAGAGGAATAAAAGTGCATCCTGTAAGTTCTTAATCCATATTAATCCACCTCACAGTTGGTTTTCTACATAAGAATCTGATACAGACTCCAGCTGTATCTGAGAATCTCCCTTAAACAACAGAGGCAGGTGGATCTCTGTGAGTTCAAGGCCAGCCTGGTCTACAGAGAGTTCCAGGATAGGCTCCAAAGCTACACAGAGAAACCCTGTCTTAAGAAAACAAAGCAAAACCAACAGGCACTCTTCTATAGTGCTTCCTAAGACAGTGCTAGAAACTCATTTATGAGCATACATATGTAAAACGGTCTGCTCTAGTTGTTAATTTGGGGTTTAAGTTATGGGAAGCCACACAGCCATGGATACCAGAGTTTCACAAAGAAATGAATGTGGTAGGTCTTAGAGAAAGGGTATGCAAGGATGCCACATGTTCACAAGACTGTAAGAGCAACTAGACCCTACATTTATTTCTCCCCGTCATTTGCTGGGTGGCCTTGGTCAAGTCATTTAATCTTCCTAGCTCCCAGTCACAATTTATTAAATGTTATAATTACAGTACCTCTGAAAGTATTAATGTAAGGGTTAAATGAAATATTGATGGGTGTAAAGTTCTTGGAGTATCATTTGACACACTCAAACACTTCAGCTCTGGTCATTATCAAGATTGCCTGTGTGTACTGGACAGGTAGCCACCCTTTCAAATATCATCCATACATATGCTATCCATACAGACAGTACTGAGTACCACTAAGACTCAGTACTGTCTTAGTGGAGTCCTAGGGTAAGGGGTTCTGAGACAGGGTCTGCAGGAAGAGTATAAGAGTGATGGAAGCAAGGTAGGGAGAGTGACTTCCCAGCAAAGGCTCCCACTGCTCCCGTGCAGAGCTCTGGGGCTGATCCAACCCCTCAGAGAAAAGACATAGTTAGTCTTCATACTTTCCCACAGTCATTTCATCTAGCCTCACTCACTCCTAGGGAAGGTGTAGCAAACAGAACAGCTATTTCTATGTAGATCACCATAGCATCAACTGCACAGACACTATTTACATTAATTTTACACTCGGAAAATAGGCCAAAATTAGCATAATTGGGGTGATTTAAAAGCAATCAACGATTACCATTTAATTAACTACAAAATAACATTTGAAAAATACACTCCCATGCCTATCACATAGTGAGGGCTCTAAATAAATACACAATACACCCTGCTGCCTTGGTAGCCTTTGCCCTATTTATTTCTTACCCTACTCACCAGGGCCTTTCTCTCTCGGTTTCTGCTTATCCCTTCTGATGGTATGTCCTTGGCCCCCCTCGCATCCCAGCTTGTCACTCACTTGATTCAGTGCAGCCCACCTCTCCTTTGACGAGTGTGAGTCCCCTTAGCCGCATCACTGCAGCCCAGTGTTCCCTTCCTGTCTCCGCCCCTCTCATGATGTCTGGAAGCCATGTTTGTTTTGATTCCCATTGCAGCTGCAGGTACCCAGTAAGTGTACGCACAGTGAATGAATGGAAAGAAAACAAGATTGTTTGCATACGGTGTGCACTTTGTCTTGTTGTGGCACAAGCACGTCTACCTGCCCCAGGTCTCCATTGTGAACAGCATCAGTGTGCATTCATGTCCCCCATCATGGAAATACCTATGTTAATGATAAATACTTGGCTTAACACATATGGACAAAGCCACTCATGCCCACATAATTCAGTTTTTAAACATACTATCTACCATTTGTGTAAAGGATCTCTACCCAGAGAGGAATATGAGTTGTTAGATTGCTCATCCTATGTGAGCCTAAAGTAAAACATTGAGTAAAGACAGTCAAAACATAGTATGAGTAGCTTTTTTTTTTTTTTTAAAAAAAAAAAATAAGATTTCTTTTACAGTGTATTCTGATCACCATCTCCCCTCCCTCATCTCCTCCCAGATCTTCCCTGCCACCCACCCATCCAACTCTATACCCAAACAGGGCAATAAAAACAAACAAACCAGAATAAAACAAAGCAAACAGAGAAAAGAAAGAAGACACGTGCATGCATGCACACTCGCACGCACGCACACACACACACACACACAGACACAAAATAAGAAACCACAGTAGATAACCAAAAGACAAGTAAGGTTTTAGAAAAAAAAATTGCCTAAATAAAGCATTATGAGACAAAACATCTCCAAAAATACTGTTGGGTTGTCCATCTACTTCTGGGCATAGGGCCTTTGTAAATTGACCCTCTATTGGGGAAAACTAATTTTTCCTTTGCGAGGGGTTGTCAGCTGGAAATAACTTTTGGGTTAAGGGTGAGAGCTTGTATCCTCTCCTCTTCTCAGCACTGGTACCCCATCTGGCTTTGACATATACAGTATGGGTAGCTTTTTATTACCTCTTCTTATTATACCACAGTTCCTTTGGCTTTACGTGATAAGGGAACCTGCACACTTGAGTCTTCCTGCCCCTCTCTTGTATTCCAATCTTAGTAGTGGACACTTACCAGAACTGCACTGTTCCTGCTCCTCGTGTCCTCCCTACATTCAGGAAGTCACTAATGCCACCCTTTCTCGAGGTCTTTCCCAGCTATGTGTCTGCAACACCATCCAGTGTGGGAGAGGGCAGCATACCTAGTCATCTCTCGTCCAAGTCATCACCGCTCCCGAAAGTCCTCCAGTTCCCACCCAGGTCTCTCTGCTGAGGGTGCTCCCCGTGGTGCTCCCTGTCATTTCCTTCGCCCACACAGTTTGTAACTTCACAGTTTGGTTCACCCTGCCCCTGCATGCTCTGTTCTACCACACCCTTTCTTACAGGCTCCTCCCTGCTGCAGCTCCACTGCAGTCTCCCCCACTATGCCGTGGCCTGTCCACACTCCCCTGGCCTACACTCGGTTCCAGTTCACCCATGGTGTGCTCAGCATGCACTTACCAAGCGATGGTCGTGTGTGGTAAACCAGAAGCAGAGACTAGTCCTTCCTAAGGTTTTCTGTCTCCTGGTTACATCTTCATTTGCTGAGTGTGCCAGTCAGCCTGAGTGGTGGGCTCCATAGGCTGTTGCTCCCAGGTATATTCAGTAGCATGTTCAGTAGTAGAGTTTAAGCTATACAAAAAGATGGACAGAGAAAACTTCAAACATATCCACAGTGGGCCCAGCACTCATTTTCCATTTGTTCAGGGTTATACTTTTAGGTCTATATGTAGTAGCTACTGGATAACAGTGACTACTTCTTTCCCAGAAATCACCTGCCAAACATGCCTTGAAAACAAAATTAAGTGCAGTTGTCCTTCAAGATCTAAGAGGATTGGTTCCAGTGTCCCTACAGACAAAATCTAGGGGTGTTCAAATGTTTGTGCATGGCACATACACATCCTCTACAGATTATTTATAATACCTAATCAATACAGTTCAGATGTTGTGTGGTTAGTTTAAAGAATAATCAGGAGGACAAGCCTGCACAGATTCAGCCTGGAAGCACGTTTTTTCAAATCCTTTTAATTTACAAGCCCACAGGCTCAGAGGGCCAACTCTAGGGCTATAACAAAAGAGGGGGTGAGTAAAACAGTGCATTGCATTAGTTGAGCACTGCCCCATGGAGAGTGATCTGATCCCTGAGAACTACAGAGAGGACCAGGGTGTCTGGAACAGGCTAGCAGCCTTGGCCACCTGCTCCTGTGACTACCTCTCACAGTCAGCCCTGTCGTGCAGGCTGCATCAAGGATGAGGATGCCATACGCCCAATAGTGCTCATCTTAGAGCATCGGAGGCATGGGTATGTGCTAGCTACCACAGTGTTCTGACAGGAGGAAATACAGTGTTTTAAGGAAGGGCATCCTTTCCTAGTGCACAGGAGAGAGCTTTGGAACCAGCAGCAGGCTTGTGTGACTGGGGATCTGTCTGGGGCAGCTCACTCCTTAGGCGCTTCCCCTCTGACCAGCTTACAGCCCACAGTCTAGCCTTGAAGATACTCTTTCACTGCCTCCTTCCCCCCACTGTCCTCTTTCTTTATGATATTTTCACAAAAGCCCAGTCCCTGTTTGCAAATGACCTAGTCTGTGTGTGCATCTGGCTGCTCAGATCCCAGGGCCCATCACTGTCTTCATTCCCTGGCAGAACTCCATGTTCTCCGCTCAGTCCTGCTCTGTTTACACATTTCAGCAGCGCTCTGTGTCTAGTGCAACAGTTACATAGTCCCATCGTGCTTCAAATTCAAAGCATCAAATTTAAAACATCAGATGAAACTCTTCTATGTAATCCTAGCCCATGTAAGGTCTCCCCCCCCCCACTCTTTCTCTCTCTTTCTCTCTCATTTTTCAAGGCAGGGTTTCTTGTGTAGCCCTGTCCTGGAACTTGCTTTGTAGACCAGGCTGGCCTTGAAGTGACAGAAATCCACCTGCCTCTGCCTCCAAGTGCTGGGATTAAAGGTGTGTGCCACCACCGCCTAGCTCATTTTCTTCTCTTGATTTTCCCCCAGCCTCCATTTCAGGTCCTGTGTTTTTCCCTGACAACCCACCCTGATCTTTACACCTGCTGTTTCTCCAGCACCCTGCCCTCCCTTCTCTGCAGCCTTTGTCCTGGTCCTTGCATTTTGCCTGGAGGGTCATGTTACATTTCACACACACACACACACACACACACACACACACACACACACACACACACACACACACACACACGGGGGCGGGGGGGGGGGAGACTCTCCCTCAGCTTCTTGCACTGGCTGCTCCTGTTGTGGTCACCATCAAGTCATCTGGTTTCAACTTCTCAATACCTTTCCTTTCCCACTTCTTGCCTCATGGTTTTCTTTTCCTTCAGATCCCCAAAAGAGGGGGGCATGTCTGCCTAGTTTGCCTTAGGTTGCTCTGTGACCCACTCACAACCTTTGAGGACCTGGTGGGAAGAGCTTGTGTGTACTCATCCAGAGGAAACAGATGCC